GTTGGATAAGGTGTCTAAGTCCATAACTATTTCTGGTATGTACTTGACCCGACCCGGCATGGTCCATTTGGGTTGCATGGCACCATGCAATTGGATAGACTAAATGAGAGAAATAACACTTGGAGATTATTAATATATTATAAGTTCTAATATATTAATAATATTATTTGATTAGTTTGATCAAGAATTAATTTAGAATTAATTAAGTGATCAAAAGATAACTAATTAAATATATGGGTTGATTATGTAAATCATCCATATCTTGTATAGTGGGCTAAGAGGCTCCATGGATTATCAAGTTGGGTTCCACCCATAGGATGCTCCATGGATGCTCCATGGGAGTTACAAACCCATGGGTCATGGAAATGAAGAGTCATGACACATTAGGGTTTACATGGTGTAACCCTAGATGTGTCAACACTATATAAGAATCATATTCTCCACCAAAATCGGCTACACTAAGGAAACAAGAGGGCTAGGCCGATTTCAAGAAGTGTGCATTCTCTCAAAAGTCTTTCCAAGAGCATTTGGTGTTGTGTGAAGCATTTGAGGCATCACACTTGGGGTGCTAGGCTCATAAGGTTTCAAGGAACATAAGCAACAACAAGGTAAGTTATTCTATCTATCATTCAAGTTAAAATTGTTCCCCATGTATGCTAGATAGGAATATAGCCTTGGAATTCAACTTTGCATGATAATTAGACAAACATAGATCCAAGGTTATTAGGGTTGCATGTACACTTAGGAAGTGTTAGAATGCTCAAAACCCAACAGTGGTATCAGAGCCTAGGCTTGTTTGTTTGTTATTTGTGCTAAAAAGTTGAAGAAAGTCGAAAAACTTGCTGTCTGACTGCTGGACTCGTCGAGTCCATGGGGGGACTCGTCGAGTTCACTTGTATCTTCAACCTACTCGTCGAGTAGGTTAATGCACTCGGCGAGTAGGGTCGACAGAGTGCAGATTTTCGACTTTAGTTGCTGGAAATGGATTAGAAACATTACCCTAAACTGTTTT